GAATGGAAATGAATGAATGGAAATGAATGAATGGAAATGAATGAATGGAAATGAATGAATGGAAATGAATGAATGGAAATGAATGAATGGAAATGAATGAATGGAAATGGATGAATGGAAATGAATGAATGGAAATGAATGAATGGAAATGAATGAATGGAAATGAATGAATGGAAATGAATGAATGGAAATGAATGGATGGATGGATGAATGAATGGAAATGATTGAATGGAAATGAATGGATGGAAATGAATGGATGGAAATGAATGAATGGAAATGAATGAATGGACATGAATGAATGGAAATGAATGAATGGAAATGAATGAATGGAAATGAATGAATGGAAATGAATGAATGGAAATGAATGAATGGAAATGAATGAATGGAAATGAATGAATGGAAATGAATGAATGAATGGAAATGAATGATTGAATGGAAATGAATGATTGAATGGAAATGAATGATTGAATGGAAATGAATGATTGAATGGAAATGAATGATTGAATGGAAATGAATGAATGGAAATGAATGAATGGAAATGAATGAATGGAAATGAATGAATGGAAATGAATGAATGGAAATGAATGAATGGAAATGAATGAATGGAAATGAATGAATGGAAATGAATGAATGGAAATGAATGAATGGAAATGAATGAATGGAAATGGATGAATGGAAATGAATGAATGGAAATGAATGAATGGAAATGAATGAATGGAAATGAATGAATGGAAATGAATGAATGGAAATGAATGAATGGAAATGAATGAATGGAAATGAATGAATGGAAATGAATGAATGGACATGAATGGATGGAAATGAATGAATGGAAATGAATGAATGGAAATGAATGAATGGAAATGAATGAATGGAAATGAATGAATGGAAATGAATGAATGGAAATGAATGAATGGAAATGAATGAATGGAAATGAATGAATGGGAATGAATGAATGGAAATGAATGAATGGAAATGAATGAATGGAAATGAATGAATGGAAATGAATGAATGGAAATGAATGAATGGAAATGAATGAATGGAAATGAATGAATGGAAATGAATGAATGGAAATGAATGAATGGAAATGAATGAATGGAAATGAATGATTGAATGAATGGAAATGAATGAATGGAAATGAATGGACGGAAATGAATGAATGGAAATGAATGGACGGAAATGAATGAATGGAAATGAATGAATGGATGGATGGATGGATGAATGAGTGAATGAGTGAATGAATGAATGGAATGGAATGGAATGGAATGGAATGGAATGGCATGGCATGGAATGGAATGGAACGGAAGGGAAGGGAAGGGAATGGAAGGGAATGGAATGGAATCAATGGAATCCATGGAATGAATGGAATGAATGGAATGAATGGAATGAATGAATGAATGAATGAATGGAATGGAATGGAATCCATGGAATGATTGGATGATTGGATGGATGGATGGATGGATGAATGGGTGAATGAACGAACGAACGAATGAACGAACGAATGGATTGAATGGATTGAATGGATTGAATGGATTGAATGGATAGAATGGATTGAATGGATTGAATGGATTGAATGGATTGAATGGATTGAATGGATTGAAAGGATTGAATGGATTGAATGGATTGAATGGAATGAATGGATGGAATGGATGGAATGGATGGAATGGATGGAATGGATGGAATGGATGGAATGAATGGAATGGATGGAATGAATGGGATGGAAGGGAAGGGAAGGGAAGGGAATGGAATGGAATGAATGGAATGGAATGGAATGGAATGGAATGGAATGAATGAATGAATGCAGGAATGAAGGAAGGAAGGAAGGAAGGAAGGAACGAAGGAAGGAAGGAAGGAAGGAAAGAATGAAAATGAATTACTACTCGTTTGTCCTTTGGGCTATTATACACCATTACACACCCATTCCCTAAGCTATGTCAAGCTACCTCTTCACTGAGCTACTTCTTCACTGGGCCACCTTTTCACTCACTGAGCGACCTCTTTGCTGAGGTACCTCTTCTCTCAGCTACTTTTCCTCTGAGCTGCTTCATATCTGCTCTGAGCTACGTTCCCCTCCAGCTACTTCTTCTCTGAGCTACTTCTCCTCTAGTGTCTGTAACCCCATTCTTCTCTTCGCACGTGTAAGGTTCAGTGTCCACATCTTCTTCCTGAAGCTGAGCAATCTCTTCCTCAGTCAAAACAGGAGTATCGTCTGTTTCATATGTTTCTGTTTCATCATCATCATCATCATCATCATCATCATCATCATCATCATCGTTTTGAAATGATACCAATTCCTTCGCGCGGCCATGACAATTCAGTTTTGCAGCCTCCAGCTACAATCCGGCATGGCAACTTACAATTTATTTAGCACCCTCCAGCTGCAATCCCGCATGGCAGGAGCGTCACACCAAATCGACCAACGTGCGCACAGCGCTGACAATGTGGGCGATTCCGCACTGGGCGCGCCAGGCGCGCCCCTAATTTTTTTCTGCATGTTTCCCTGAAATCGAGCTCTCGCTACAGTCTGGTCCACTTTTTGTCGACAGCTTTTCCAGATCGAGGCCCGCAACCGTGGAAACACTCCTGGACTGTTGCTGTACTCAACCGTTCCCACCTGCAAACTGCTACCGTTGTGGTTGACGTGATGACAAGACTGGCCATGGACATGCGTCCGCAACTCGGAAGTTTGTGAACTAAACTTCCTTTGATAATATCTGACTCCTGAGATCTCCCGACTGGAGCTCTTTGGCGCTTAAGCGCTCCCAAGGAGCCCATTGCAGGCACCTCCCGGACTGATGATGTTTTATCAATAAAGCGAAAGAATGAACAGGAAGACTTGCGTCAATATCTCTTGAACTTCTTCAACTCACAGTTCATTTGAGACCCTCCGAGAGCGGTTTGAAATACCATTTTTGTCAATGTTAAAGCTGCAAAATGGCTTGTGGCTGTCGTGTGTTTTCAATGACCCAGTTTCATCACTGATGAGCATGCTCATCTGTTTACAAGATGCTGCCCCTTTTCAGTGCGCGAGACCAAGAGCAAAGGGAGATACAGCGATGCCTGGTGCACACTTGTGCGACTAGCAGCACATGCGCGTCATTCCTGGCCACAAAAGACATCACAACTAACAGTCTCAGTCTTCCACCAGCAAGGCAACCATGAAATGCTGCCGCAAAGATTGAAACACAAACTATGAAGACTAAATGGTGGAAAATGAAATCTCCGTACAACTCACAAAGAAAGCCTTGATGACTTTGACATAACATGAACCCTCAAGCAAACGGCCAAACAAGTAAAATACAACTCTTCAAACGCAGCCAACAGTTCAAGCTAAAACATACCAAGATGGATCGTGTTATAGAAACATCCTGACATCTTTTGGTTGACCCCTTCTTCCCAGTGCGGTAACAAATTGCCCCAGGTTCCCCAGCTCATCTGCTGCCGCAGCCGAACCGTGTAGGTCCAGCAACGCCTGGAGTGTTCTGCCATCAGGTACAACATGGTACAACTACCAGTTGGAAGTGTTGCATTTTGCAGTTTTTGTTGCAATCTTTGGTAAGTCCATGTGGGACATCTGCAAATATTTTAGACTTGGACACTCAACAACTGCAGACACAGCTTTGCTCAAAATGGGAGACCCCTGAAATGTTGTTTTTATGGGGGAGATTTTCTACCATGAAATTTTGGGGTACTCTGGACAGGCCACATGTCAGAAGGCAAAAACATCCCAACCTGTGGAAGTTCTGGTTGCTTCTGCCCCAAGGCCTCTTGGATGGCCTGACGGAATGGCCAGCTTTGCCCTTCACAGCCCGTGAAAGCCAGATCCACAACAGCCAGAAAGCCACTGACAGGACAGCCTCTGACCATATGAGAACTCAACATGTATTGTACCATCAATTGTACCATCAAGATAACGAAGATCCGTTCACACATCAACGCAATTGCTTCGGAAACCAAAGCAACTCTCTTGCCAAATTTCCAAACACATTCCCAGCGCGCTATCCGGCCCAACCATCCCCACCTGTCTCAATTGCTGACATTTCACAAATTGAAACCAGGGATGAGGCCTCATGGGAAAGACAAGGAGGACCTCCAGGAAAAATGGGGGAAAACATCGGGAAACCCAAGTGGATGGTTTCCAAACGATGAAGTACAAAAACTGAATAGATGATCATAGATTGTGTACATAAATTCAAGACGGATAACTATCTTCGTTTGCTGCTGGCGTGTCCCTGATGATCTGAGAAGCCTTGGGCTTGGGAAATGAATTGTATGCCTTTTTTCTCATTCACGTGTACATATACATATACACATATACACATATACACATATACACATATACACACATACACATATACACATATACACATATATACTTATATACATATATATATATACACATCTATACATCTATACATCTATACATCTATACATCTATACATCTATACATCTATACATATACAGTTGCATATACATAAACTGCACGTATAATATACACATACACAAACATATACATAAACATATACATACATATAAATATGCTACCCCACCCCAAGACCTACCTTTTTTGGGCTTGCATGTGTCAGATAGTTGCAGTTTTCCTTCCAGACAAAAGTATGACTTCGTTCAAGAAACAGTACCCCTACAAAATATAGAGTATTCCTCTAAACATGCAGTGTTTTCTTTCTGAACAAGTGCAGTCTTCCCAAACTAATATTAAGGGTTCCTTCAATCATACAGCATGTCGCTCAAAACACCAGATTCTAACATTTTGGATATGTCTGTGTTTTTGATGCAACAGAGTAAGAATAATATCTTGATCAGCATTTTTTAATCTACAGTGAATATAGCTCCATTATAGATTCCATATACTTTAATATACCAGTAAATTGACCATAAAGATATCTTTAATAAACCTTTAGTAAACCTTTGGCATACCTTCAATATCCCCTTTTAAATACCATCCAAAAAAAAACAAAAAAACTTTAATATACCATTCAATATACCTGTAACATTCCACTGGATAACGATGAAGCTACCTTTAATGTACAATTTAATTGGCCTTGAAAATGTCTTTAGTATACTTTAAATATACCTTCAATGCATAAAGCTTCACTATACTATACCATTTAATCTACCTTAGATATACCATGTTATTGGCCATGAAAACATCTTTAATACACCTTTAGGATACCTCTCTACCTCTAGCATACCTTGTATTTTCCATCTAATTTGGTTTTAATAAATCTTTAATGTACCATCTATCCTTAGCTTACCATTTAAGAATCGTTAATATTCCATTTGATCTACCATTAATTAATACGATAAAAAAATGTCGTTTACTACACCTTTAGTATACCTTGAAGGTATATACCTTCCATATGCCATTTAATGGACTTTGAAAATACCACTATGCCTCTAAAATACCGTTTGCTTACCATTTAGTTTGCCTTTAATAGACGTTTAATATACAATCTATACTTAGTTTACCATGTTAGAATCATTAACATTCCATTTGGTATACCATTACTATATGATTTAATATGGTTTTGGCATACCATTTTATATACCATGAGTCTACCTCTAATATACCTTTAGTATACCATCAAATCCACCTCTAATATACCATTTAGTATACCTGTAGTATACCTGTAATATTCCAGTCTGGCCATGAATCTATATAATATTTACATATACATATGTAGTATATCTTCAAAATACCTTGTGTTTTCATTAAAAATGTCGCGTACTACACCTTTAATATTCCTTGATGGTATATACCGTATTAATTATATACCTTTAATATACCATTTTATTGACCTTGAACATACCACTATACCTCTAACATACCGTTTATTTAGTCAAGGCCTGGATTCAAGAAGTTTCCCCAGCAAAATTTGCAGATGTTTGCAAATTTTGGGGATTCAAGATTCAAGATTCAAGATTTTGAGGAAAAGTTCTTGAATCCAAGCCCTTAGATCGTGGGGTTCTGGATGCCAGTCAGGGCTTGGATTCAAGAACTTTTCCTCAGAATCTTGAATCTTGAATCCATGAAAATTTGCAAACGTTTGCAAATTCTTGGGATTCAAGATTCAAGATTCAAGGTTTTGAGGAAAAGTTCTTGAATCCAAGCCCTTAGATCGTGGGGTTCTGGATGCCAGTCAGGGCTTGGATTCAAGAACTTTTCCTCAGAATCTTGAATCTTGAATCCAGGAAAAAAAAAGAAACATTTGCAAATTTTTGAGATTCAAGATTCAAGATTTTGAGGAAAAGTTCTTGAATCCAAGCCCTTAGATCTTGGGGTTCTGGATGCCAGTCAGGGCTTGGATTCAAGAACTTTTCCTCAGAATCTTGCATCTTGAATCTTGGGTCCAAGAAAATTTGCAAACGTTTGCATTTTTTTTGGGATTCAAGGTTCAAGATTCATGATAATTTCTGAGGGTTCAATGTGTGTGTGTGTGCACGTGAGTGTTTACATGGTAATTGGAATTCTATTATATTTATATATATATATATGGCACCCCACAGAAGTCAACCAAAACATGACCCAAAACTGCAAACAAAAATATAAGTTCAAAATGTGCATAATTTTCTGCAAATACCAGTAAAAACCACAAAAAGGTAGGTCCTGGCGGGGTACCATATATATATATACATATATATATATACATACATACATACATACATACATACATACCATACATACATACATACCTACATACCTACATACCTACATACCTACATACCTACATACCTACATACATACCTACCTACATACATACATACATACATTACATACATTACATACATTACATACATTACATACATTACATACATTACATACATTACATACATTACATACATTACATACATTACTACATTACATACATTACATACATTACATACATTACATACATTACATACATTACATACATTACATACATTACATACATTACATACATTACATACATTACATACATTACATACATGCATACATTACATTACATTACATGCATACATGCATACATGCATACATGCATACATGCATACATGCATACCTAATACATACATTACATACAATTACATACATTACATACATTACATACATTACATACATTACATACATTACATTACATTACATTACATTACATTACATTACATTACATTACATTACATTACATTACATTACATTACATTACATACATACATACATACATACATTACATTACATTACATTACCTTACCTTACCTTACCTTACCTTACCTTACCATACATACATACATACATACATACATACATATACATACATACATACATACATACATACATACATACATACATACATTACATACATACATACATTAAATTACATGTACATACATACATACATACATACATACTTACATTACATTACATTACATTACATTACATTACATTACATTACATTACATTACATACATACATACATACATACATACATGCATACATACATACATCCATTACCATTACCATTACCATTACCATTACCATTACCATTACCATTACCATTACCATTACCATTACCATTACCATTACCATTACCATTACATACCATTACATACCATTACATACCATTACATACCATTACATACCATTACATACCATTACATACCATTCCATGCCACTACATGCCATTACATGCCATTACAAACCATTACATGCCATTACATGCCAGTACATGCCATTACATGCCATTACATGCCATTACATGCCATTACATGCCATTACATGCCATTACATACCATTACATACCATTACATACCATTACATACCATTACAAACCATTACATACCAATACATACCAATACATACCAATACATACCAAAACATACCGATACATACCGATACATACATATACATACATATACATACATATACATACATATACATACATATACATACATATACATACATATACCTACATATACATACATATACATACATATACATACATATACATACATATACATACATATACATACATATACATACATATACATACATATACATACCTATACATACATATACATACATATACATACATATACATACATATACATGCATATACATACATATACATACATATACATACATATACATACATATACATACATATACATACATATACATACATATACATACATATACATACATATACATACATATACATACATATACATACATATACATACATATACATACATATACATACATATACAGACATATACATACATATACATACATATACATACATACACATACATACACATACATACATACATACATACATACATATAACGTAGATGGCATACATAGAATACAGAATCGATAATTTCGGCCTCCAGAAGCATCTTCCGGAATCGGTAAAAAAACCTATACATAGAATAAAAGCATCTTCCGGAATCGAAAAAAAAAAACTATACACAGAATATTTCCGGCTATCCATTTTGATCCGGGAAAATGGTTTTTTCTAGAACTTTGTAGAACTATGAAAAAAAACTATTTTGCAATGAAAACCAATGGAATTGGGTGGTGATCCTCAAAAAATTGATGAATATGTTCACTGGGGACCTATATTCTATGTATGTAGTTCTGCAAGGAATTGGGTCTCTTCCATGTATAAGGGTATATATCATATATGTAATTCCCTTTGGCAAGTAGCAACCCTGGATGTCTGAAGTTCCTAAACTACAACGTTTCAACAAACAAACAGGTCACCCGAAATGACCTATTTCTTTTTATCTTGTATTAAACAAATGAGTTTTTCAAGCTCACCGAAGGGTACCCCCCACGACTGGTGTCGTAGAACTATGAAAAAAAACTATTTTGCAATGAAAACCAATGGAATTGGGTGGTGTTCCTCAAAAAATTGATGAATATTTTCACTTGGGACCTATATTCTATGTATGTAGTTCTGCAAGGAATTGGGTCTCTTTCATGTAAAGAGTATATATCATTTATGTAATTCCCTTTGGGGAGTAGCAACCCTGGATGTCTGAAGTTCCTAAACTACAACGTTTCAACAAA